TTTTTGAAGAAAAAAAGACGTCAGAACTTTCCTGCCGACCTAGTACAAGAAACTGACACACATAAAAGTGCTTAGAACAGTGCCTAGCACCCAGTGCTTGCTCAGTGTTGGAGGCTATCTTGGTATTATTGATCGTACTGGTTATCGATAGTGTTACTGTCAGAGTAATGCTTATTTCTGCCGCCCTCAGTTTCCTCCTTGGTTATGCAGAAACAATAGTACCCAGGTCACCTCACAGGGATAGTGTGTAAATCTTACTAACCTCAGCTCATTGAGTTGGGGATATTTACTGAGCACTTACTATGTCCTTTCTACCTCCCTTTCCATGGAAAGTGGGGATGCAATAGTCCCTCCAAAGGAACTTTCAGTCTCGTCCTCAGGAGCCGAGCCTCCCAGTTACTGCACTGGGGCAGGTGGGCTGCAGGTGTATTTCTACCCGTGCACCGATATTGAAGCCCTCAGAACCAGAGCCTATGAACAGTTTAGTCCTTCTAAATTTTCCTCGTCACACCCCGTTTCCATTTTTCCTCACCTCCTCCCACCCTCCCCATTGCGTCCAAAACCCTGGCTCTTTGTAGAAGTCCAGAAGACAGTGAAAAAGCCTCAGTAAAAGGACAAAATGACAGTCAGTCAACATTGTTAGCAGCAGTGTAGTGTGATTTAGTGGGGTTAAAGCCAACAGTTTCGGGGAAGTTTGTTGGTTTCACTCACTCGTCCCTCCCCCCACTACCAAAATGCAAGGGTTGGTCTGTTCAGAACTTCTCTGTCCCTTTCTTCATCTCCTCGGTTTGCCTGCTTACCAGAAATATAAGCTGGCTAGTTATTTTCTCTTTCTCTCTTTGGTTTCCTAGGTTTTTGGGTCCACTGCAATGACTCAAAGCTGAATGTATGCAGTGTCGAGGAAGTGTGCAAAACCCAGGCCTACATCCTTTTTTACACTCAGAGAACAGTGCAGGGCAATGCAAGGATCTCAGAAACCCACCTCCACGCTCAGGTGCAGTCTGGCAACAACAATGAAGGCAGACCACAGACACTCCCCTGAATGGGAGGCGCATATTGAAGACTGTCGTGCTTTTGAACTGTTGGTGTCCATCTTTCCTCTCGTGCAGGAAGTAAGGCTTACTGCAGGGACAGATGACTAGGTCTGCTTCACTGGGTCTAGAGTAGAAGGTGCCAGGTGGTTCACGTCTTGTAAAATCTGTAGTCACTTTCTTTTGAATGGATTTGGAAATTTCCTCCTTTCATAAAACCAATCAAAAGGAGTAACTTCTATGAAGATTCTTTCATCAGTTGCTTCTGAACAGAGAGGGATCTGGGTGGAGGAAGGAGGGAGTAAACTGGTTCTATCCACCAGGAGAGTGCCATGTTTTCTTTCCATTATATGAGCGTCCTGCTAATCAGGACCTCCTTGCAGCACGGGAAGAACCCTCCTGACGTGAGCAGCCCTGGACAGAGCCATGAAGAGGGCCCTTAGGCTGGCAGCTTGCCAGATGGGAGTGGTTCCAAGGTGGGAGGTCGGTCTAAGGCTGCATTCCCACAAAGGAAGTAACCCTCAAGGGCAGAAGCTTCCTTTTTTTAGGTGATCGCAGTTGAAGAGTGGAGTAAGATGCATGGAACAGATTTCCCCATGCAAGATGGGAGGGTTTCCACATGTTACACCCTTCCGGTCACCGCTGTCGTTTAATCATTCCGCACTGCTGAGACCGTATGACCATCCCTTTATTCTAAACAAGGGGCAGCTCATATAAGGAAGCGATGTTCTTGGTTACGTGCTGAGCCAAAGGGCACCCCTGGCCATCCCAGTTCTGTAGCAGCTCCCTGGTTCAGGTCTAGTGCAAATTGGTCCTTAGTCAGGTGTCTGAGGCTTTCTCAGAACTCTGGAAGGTGGACAGGGACAGCTGGTGGTCCAGGGCTTCTCTGAATGCCTGTTCTCATCTTGGTGCAGCAGGCAGCTTCGGAGCCAGCAGCTTCTTTCTTGCACCTGGAGAGCCAGAACATCGCATTCTTAAGGCAGAGGAGGTGTCTAGGAACCTACCTACTATATATCTGAACAGTTTATTGCTGGTGGCCCTGGCCCGTGTCCTGCCAAGTCCGATAATCCCAACTGTTGCTTTACTCACCTTTACTCAATCCACTGGAGCAGAAGGCTGGAATGTCCTGTCCTTTACTCCAGTGCGAGGAAAATATATCTTACTTTTTAAATGGAATGCAATTGCCCAGCTGGAACACCTGCTCCCCTCAGGCACCATTCAGTCTCCCTTCTCACCCTTCATTGAGGTTCACCCAGGAGAACGATGCCAACCCCAACTCTCGTTGCAGTGGTTGCTGCAGTGAACCTCAGCCTGTCGTTACAAATGCTCATCTTTTGACTGAGTGTATCATATGTTTGGATTCAGGTCGAAGTACAGTTGTCACTTGAAGGGAGTAGATGTGGAAGGGAATTTGGGGAGGAGTGGGAAGTAGG